ACTTGTCCATAGATTCATGAATCTACTTCTATTCCATTCCTTTGGTCTAACTGCTTTTTAAGCCATTACCATGCTGTTTTATTTTGCTTTGTAGTATGTTTTACTACTCGGGTAGTATGCATCCTGATGATTTTTTTCTTAAGACTGCTTTGGCTCTGTGTGTGTGTGTGTGTGTGTGTCCTTACAAATTTTAGGATTTTTTTTTAAATATTTTATTTACTATTTTTACGTGTATTTTATTTTATTGCATGTATGTAAGTACATCTGTATCATGCAGTGCCCTCAGAGATCCTAAGAGGGAGTCAGCTCTTCTGGAACTGGAGATAAGGATGGTTGTTAGCTGCTATGTGGGTGCTGAGAATTGAACCCAGGTACTCTGTAAGAGCAGCTGTGCTCTTAACAACTGAGCCTTCTCTCCAGCCCCAGGATTACTTTTTCTAGTTTTGTAAAGGATATTATTGGGCTTTGGGTAGGGATTCTAAATGTTTCCTGATACTATTCTCTGAGAAGCCTGGGCTCCCTTGGAGAAGTAGCTGATTCTAGTGCTGGAGGCAAAAATACACAGTTTGAGCTTGGAGCATCTTATAGTACTAAAAACTAAAGAAGTAAAAAAAGTGGAACTATTAAAGGGATATCAAAGCCAGCCGAAAGCACTCTCACTGGGCAATCTGCAAAGACATTGAGCAGGAAAATAAATAATCATATTGGTTTATAACACAGGAAATAAAATAAATATGCTTGAGTCCATAGTGATAGTCACACATGATTGAATACATAATAAATGAGGGAGAAAAGGCAGGTGTCTCCTACAGAAATTCCACATAATTTATGTAGATACTCCTGCTCCAAGCAGCTCAAACATAAATCCTCACTGCTAGGTATGGGCTAGATTTAGTGACTCCTTCCAGAGACAACCATGTGGAAAGATGAGACGTCATTCCTTTACAGTGGAGACCTCCACAGTGCCTCGGTTGGGTGATCAGGTCTTACCAGTGTTGTCTGGTTGACAGCACACCCTTGATATGATGTGATGATAAGAGCACTTTATTGCTGTGTTATCCAATACCCAAATTTCTAGTTTAATTTTAAGACAAACAGGCAACCCCCAATTCAGGGATAGCCTACACAATACCTGATAAGTACTTTTCAAAACCACCCAGGTTGTCAGAATTTAGCACAGTCTGAGAAATAGGCATAGTCTAGAGACTAAGGAGACAGATGACTCAATATACTTTGATAGCCTACATAGAATCCTGAAACTAAAAAGGGATATTAGGTAAAGCCTGAAGAAATGTGAATAATGGATGGCTTTTAATTAGTTGTTGAATTAGTTATTTTTTAAAATAGTATTTATTTTCGGGGCTAGAGAGATGGCTCAGTGGTTAAGAGCACTGACTGCTCTTGCAGAGGACCCGGGTTCGATTCCCAGCACCCACATGGCAGCTATGAACCGTCCTTAACTCCAGTTCCAGGGGAATCCAAAGACCTCTTCTGACCTCCACGGCATTGCACGACACGGGTGCACTCACATACTTGCAGGCAATACACTCGTACACATAAAATTTTAAAAAGTAATAAATAAAATATTTTTTAAATTATTTTCAAAAAAATATTTTCTTTTTAATCATGTGTATGTATGTGTGTTTCTCTGTATGTGCACATTAGTACTGGAGTCCTTGGAGGCCAAAGGTGTCAGATCCCCTGAATCTGGAATTATAGGTGGTTGTTGGCTACCTGATGTGGGTTCTGGGAATCAAACTCAGGTCCTCCAGAAGAGCAATACATGCTCTTAACCACTGAGCCATCTCTTCTGCCTACTTTTAAACGTATTTATTTATTTTTATATCACATGTGTGTTTTGCCTGCATGTATAAAGTGCACCGTGTGCATTCAATGCCCATGGAGGCCAGAAGAGGGCATAAGATCCCCTGGAACTGGAGTTACAGATGCTTGTTGGCTAATGCTCTTAACCTCTGAGCCGTCTCTCCAGCCTCAGGAGTATTAGTTACTTTTCTGTTGCTGTGATAAAAACACCATGACCGCTGCGACTTATAGAAGGAAGAGTTTATTTGGCTTATGGTTCCAGAGGGATAAGAATCTATCATGGCAGAGGAGGCATGGTGCAGGGAGTGGCTGCAACAGAAAGCTGAGCACTCATATATTCAAGCAGGCAAAGGAAACAGAGAACAAAACTGGAAATCCAGCAAGGCTTAAGAACTCTCAAAGTCCACCCCTAGTGATGTGCTTCCTTCAGCATGGTCACACCTCTTAAAGGTTTCATGACTCTCTCCAAACAGCAACAGGAACTGGGATCAAAGTATTCAAATACCTGGAGCCTATGGGGGACATGAATTCAAATCACCACAGTTGTTAATGATGTAGTAGCATTGGTTTACTAGTTGTGACACATAAACCATAGTAATATAACAATAGAGGCATGTGAGAACTCTGCACTATCTTAATTTTTCTGAAAAATATAAAAATTCTAACATTAAAAAAGTTTAAAGCTATTTTTGTAAATCATTCCAGTTGACTGAAACCTATCAAATATATTTAAACCCCTGAATACATTGTTCTATATTTTTTGGAAATACTATCTTGTTGTGTAGGCCACAAACTCAGGGTCCTCCTGCCTCCACTTCCCAAGTGTCAGGATTACAAGCAAGTGCCACCACACCTGCCTCGTCGTACTATTTTAAAACAAAAGCAAATTGTACAAGATTGAGACTTGAGAGGATGATAAAGAACCCATTTGTTTTCTTGAAAAGTGGTAAATAAAAGTCAAGTATTTGCTTTTCTTGCTGGAAAACAAAATACTACTAAATGCTAAGCCTCACCTTGTAAGGGTATTCCAGTTAGTAAAACAGAAGTGTTGAGGACAGCAGTATAAGCCTTTTTTAAGATTTATTTTTATTTTTGATTATGTGTATATGTATGCATCTGTGTGTGTGTGTGTGTGTGTGTGTGTGTGTGTGTGTGTGTGTGTGTATACATGAGTGCAGGCTCGAGCTCTCAGAAGACAGAGGTATAAGATCCCCAAGGAGCTGGATTTACAGGCGGTTGAAAGCCGCCTGAGTGGAGTCCTCTGGAAGATCAGTATGTGCTCTTAACCACTGTGCCAACTCTCCAGTTAGTTAATTAATGCATCTAGGCACTGGACATCGACAGCTACTTTTCCATTGCTGTTTCAAAATATCTAAAATACTAAACCCAAAAGAGAACAAGATTCGGTTTCAACCCATGGTCACTCTGCCCCATTGTTTTGGGCCTGAGATGAGGCAGAACATCATGGCAGGGAGCCTGTGGCAGAGCAGAGCTACATGTCTCATTGTGACTGGAAAACAGGGAGGGGGGAGACAGAGATTTCACTTTTCCTTCAAGGGTATACCCCCAGTGACCTGATGCCTGCCACTAGTCTCTGTATCCTAAATAGCACCAGAAAGTAACCACCAAGCCTTTAGCACATGAACCTTTTGAAGGATATTTAGCACCCAAACTATAGCAGTCACAACAGATGAGACAGCAGTTCTATTAGTCCTGATGAGGGAACACAGTACCACCTAGAGTCATGTCCAGGGTGTCAAACTGGAGATAACATTAAGAAGAAGGGGATATAGGCGGTAAGAGAGAGGGGAGGCCAGGAAGGGTAGTTAAGAGGGTGTAACTAGTTAAAGCATAATATATGCATGTATAGGAATGTCACAGTGTAAGCCATTAATTTATAAAAATGAGTTAAATTTCATCATTAAAAGCCTCAGTAGCCTGAGGCAGCAACAGAGGCTACATAGGAAGATACTGTCACAAAGACAAAGAACTCCACTAAATCAAGCCTCTGCATCCAGTGCCACTCTGCAGGAAATACAGAACATGCTAGAAACCAGTGGAGTTGGCCCAGCTTTTTCAACAGGCAACTTGTAAGGAATAAAGAGATGGAGAGGGAACCTGCAGATTCAAAACAGATACTAAAATATTTTTAAATAGGCAAGACTAACTTCAAAAACATTGTGCTAAACAAAAGAAGTCAGATACAAATGATCACATTAAGTTTATATGAAATGTCAAAAAATAGCTTAAGTGATATGGACTAGGAGGAGGGAAGGAATGGGAATGGACTACAAATGGGCACCATGGAGTTTGGGGGGATGATAGTATTTTTAAAATTAGATCGTGGGGCTGTAGAAATCACTCAGCAATTAAGAGCACTGGCTGCTCTTCCAGAGGACCTGAGTTCAGTTCCCAGCATGCACATGGCATTTCACAACTACCTGCACACACATGGTGTTCATACTTACACCTAGGCACACACTCATACATATAAACTAAGTAAATCTTTTAAAAAATAAATAAGGGCTGGGTGTGGTGGTGCACACTTTTAATCCCAGCACTCAGGAAGGTGGAGGTTGGTGGATCTCTGTGAGATCAAGGCCAGCCTGGTCTGCATAGTGAGTTCTAGGCCAGGTGGGGCTACAGGGAGACTTTGTCTCAAAAAAAAACCCCAAATTAGTTAATTAATTGATTAGTTAAAAATAAAAATTAGATTGTAGTGATGGTTATACAGCTCTGTACTAAAAATTGCTCAATAAAAATGAATATATCACACATAGACATCTATGGTATCTAGAGATGCACATTTAGGTAATAAAGTCACAATAAAGAAATGTGGAAGTGTTATAGTGGTTACTTTTGCAGAGGGGGATATCCTGAGAGCTTTTCAAAGAAGCCCAAATCATAGAGGTGCCCCCCCATAGATGAATTCTATTTTGACTACTTTAGCAAGAATTCTTTCCCCAAACAGAATTCATTTTGGGGGGACACTTAGTAACATTTCATAGCATGTAATATATTCAGCAATAGAAGTATTCTCACCGTTTCTGCTAGGCCAAGGCAGCTAGCTATGTTCCATCCTCATTGTGTACCATACGTTCCTAGGAGCACTGAGCCCTCACAGCGTACTCACGTTCCCGCCTTTCTCACCCCTCTGCCTCATTTTCCTACGTTAGCTGATTTCAGAAAAGTAGCTCAGCAACAGGAAGATCAAGAACAAAAGGAGGAAGAGAATGATGAGAAAACACTCCACAGAGTACGTGAGTGGGATGACTGGAAGGACACCCATCCTAGAGGCTATGGCAACCGGCAGAATATGGGCTAACCTCCCCTCAACACAGAAGGACAACGGGATGCACACCTTTGCTGCCAGGGACAACCATACTGCCTTCTCCTCCTGCTTCAGCTGGATGCAGTGAAGGCAAAGTTGCAGAATCTGCTTTGCATTCAGTAGTGTCAAATAATTGTTTCCTTGTACACTTAGATAATGACTGGTGATCTTATCTTGGCTTTATTAATTCTTATCATGGTGTATTCTGATTTAAGTGGACAGAAAAGAACACTTAAGAAATGGCTCTATATAATCAATGACAGTATGACTTCTCTTTAAAAAAAATAAAATCCCTTCTATTAAGTGAACTTATGCACAAATGTGGGTCTCACACTTTTTGTTGGGGGGGGGGAGCAAGGGCATTCAGCTGTAGATCTCCAAGCATGTGGCGATCCCTGTCCATCTGCCTTCATTCAAGAATTGCCCAGCATCATGGGAATAAGACTTCACACTGTGAAGTTACACTACACTAGAGGTGACAAAAGCGGGCCTTAGCCACACAGCACTAGTTTCAGAAATTAGTCTATGATAGGTATGATGGATGGTGCCTGTAATCCCAACCCTTGGGAAGTGGAGCCTGGAAGATTAGAAGTTCATTCTTGGCTACACAATGAGTTTGATGCCAGCCTCAGCTACATGAGACTCTGTCTTTAGAAAAGAAAATGTAGAAAATGTATTTCCCAATCCTACCTACCTAGTCCTTGCATTGGCCCGGAGAAATAAGAGAGAAGATGCTCTGAGAGTCATCCTTTACTCTCACAGGCACATTGGCTTAGGCCTCACAGTGAAGGGCAGTGCCAGGTTGTAATCTAATTTTTAAATTGGCCCCCTCAGACCACATTGGACCTCCTTGCCTCTTTGGTGCCATGCCAGGCACAGTGGGAACTCGTAGCCCAGGGAATGTATGCCACTGTTATTTGGCTGCTTGGCAAGGGGCCTACACTCCTGCTGATAAGTAGATGTGGAGAAAAGGGATGGCACTGATGACACCCAAAATATCAACTTTCTAGAGTAGAGAGGACATGTCCTCAGCTCTTGGGTTGATAGCCTACAAAAGCAGCATATAATCTGCATAGAAAACATCCTTTTGTTCTGTGGCTCTGGTCCACTTCAGTATCCTTTGAAGAGGAAGATGACTCAGCCCTCCTAGCTCCTGCAGTCTAGCTGAGGAGAGGGCTTTTGCAGAGAGACTCAATTCCCTGTTTCTAGGGTGGGAAGTAGAGGGCTGTCAGGTGCTGAGGAGGAGGTTGCTTCGTGGGTGGTGACAGCAAGAAGACTACCAATAATATATTTGTATACTGCCTAATAAAGGACTCATCTCTCCCTCACACAGAAGCTTCTCAAACTGGTGAAACATGCTTGAATTTCCCTGAAGAGCTGGAAGCAATATTTTCAGCCCTCCAATTGTTGCCAGGCTACCTCTAGCCACAGCTTTGTCTCCTGTCCTTCGAACTTCAGCCTGAAGTTTATTTCCAAACTGATCACCTGGAGTTACCCCTTTGAGTTCCTTTTAAGGTTGTATTTTGCAGAACATCCAACTTCAATAAGCCCCTGCACACATGGAGAGCCAAGATGTATACCACATGAGGTGCATTTTACTCCCGGCTTTAATAAGTGAGCTTAAAGCGTCCTGTCTTCATTAGATGTAGAGAGGCCATCTTTTAGGTTTGGGATGAATAATGACCTCCACTATAATAAACTCAGGCAACTGGAGAATAAGTTTTCCATGTTGTCAGCTCTGTCTAGGAAGGGAAAGAAAACGGACAGGTAACCGGCCATTACGATGAGGCGCTTTCCACACTGTTGGCACAGTGACCTCAACACGGCAGGACTTCTATCCCCATGCTACAGAGGGGAAAATGGGCCGAAAGGAGCAGAGTGATTTCCTTAAGCCCACACTAGAAAGGTGCTATGCTTACGTCAGGGCCCATGCACTTCCCAGTTATTTGTGCTTTTAGTCATGTATCAAGGCTGCTTTCAAGTGGGAGCATCTTTAAAACCCCAAACTATAACCACCACTTAAACACCACTGGGACTTTGCAGTACAGAGTCCTTCTTAGTTGACTCACCAAAGAAAATATTCCGCCAATCCCCCCACCCCTACCCCCTCAGCTAACGCCAGAGGGAGGTGGTGAGCAAGCCTGTCTTCCTCCATTCTCCCGAGCTCTGTGTGCCTGATGCCTCACTGCTCAGAAACCAAAAAAAGCACCACCTTCTCTACACCCACTAGAGCCAGGCCTTCCAGGGTCCTACAACCAGCTGCTTTGGGTGGATTCCAGGAGCCAGAACTTTTCAAAGCTTTTGATAGATAACAATACTTCATAGTTTGGAAAATGCTTTCAGTCCTGCTTATTATGCATATGTATATGCATGCATGCATTTCTGAGCTTCTACATATGCTATTTGTTTCATTCTCATAACCTGTCAGGCAAGATATATCTTCATTTTCCAATGGAGGAAACTGGCTCAGACAGATGAAGTCAGTGGCTTAGAGCTTGTAAATGCATCAGTGTAGTCTAAGTGTTCTAGCTTGTTTCTCCATTGCTGTGACAAACCACTCTGACCACTACCAACTTGGGGAAGAAAGAGTTTATTTGTCTTACATGTCCCAGGTCACAGTTCATCAGAGAGCCCAAGGTAGGAATTCGGGGCAGGAACCTGGAGGCAGGAGCTGAAGCACAGGCCATGGAGAAATGCTGCTTACTGGCTTGCTCCTCTGGCCCCTGCTCAGCCTGCTTTCTTATGCAACATAGGCCCACCTGCCCAGGGATGACACCACCCACAGTGGGGTGGGCCCTCCCACATCACTCAACAATCAAGAAGATGCCCCACAGACATGGCCACAGGTCAATCCAATGGAGGCAATTCCCCAACTGAGGCTCCCTCAACCCAGGTGTGTCAAATTGACACTAAAGCTATCCAGCACACTAAGCATTTGTCCTTCTCTCATGTGGAGGTCAATTAGATCTGCAGGTAGTGGCCCAGCATGTTGTGTGTGCCTATAATAGCAGCACTGAGGAGGCCTAAGTAGAAAAGATTGCAAGTTCAAAGTCAGCTTGAACTACATAATGAGATCCTGACTTGAAAAAAAAAAAGGAGCACATGTGTAATCCCAACCCTTGGAAGGCAGAGGCAGGAGGATCAGGAATTCAAGTCTAGCCTTAGCTACATAGCCAGTTGAAGCCAGCCTGGGCTACATGAGACTGTCAAAAAGAAAGCAGGAGGGAAGAAGAGAGGAAGGGAAAAAAAGGAAGAGGGGAAGAAAGAGAGAACAGATTCACATTCATCTTTTCTAAATCTTTTCTTTTTTCTTGACAGACATCTCACTACATAGCCCAGGGTGGCCTTAAATTCCTGATCCTCCTGCCTCACCTCCTGAATGCTGGTATTGCAGGTGTGTGCTATATTGCCTGGTATGAGGCAATTCAATTTTCTTTTTATATCATAACACACTGAAATGCTCTTTCCACTTTTGCACCTGTCAGTAGCCTCTGGAGAAAGATAGAGCAGGGTACTAACAGAATTATTTCAAACCTAAGAAATTAGAACTCTGAGTTAGTTTCAATTCTCGGAAATCTATCCCTCCCACACTGAACGACCCTGGACCAGAGTATTCACTTTTGTCATTTAAAGCAACTTGAAAAGGGGGAACTTATAAAACTAAAATCAGTTCTTGGGCATTTGAACTCCAAAAGATCCTCTTCCACTTCCTATTGGCCTCAGGTCAGCTCATGACACAACAGGCACATTGCCACCCATCCCAGTGGGTCATTGACAGCAATAACTTATTGTTACCATGTTTCCTTGCAAGACAGCACTCTCCAACACCTGTACACCATTTCCCCAGATTCCTTTCAACCCACTGAGCCAACTCAAGAAGAGGAGTTACTCTTGTTCTGTACCAGGGTTACATGATCTCTCATCCAAGCTTGTCACTTGTGCCCCTCAGTGACACAGCCAGTATTTGCCCTATTTACCCCACAGGCCAGAGTGAGGAGCAACAGAAAATAAATATATGAAAGCACTTTGGATACTTAAAAAGCACCATAGGAGAGTTGAAAGGAAGACTGCTACATCTGGTGATGACTAGGGGGACAGAGAAAGGGGTTCTTTATGTTTAATCTAGTGCTTGACGACATAATTTGCTTAAAAGAAACTCTCTGAAAGAATTTAAGTACACACAAAATAGTGTATGTGAGAGTACGTTGAGGCTCCGTTTGCCTATCAGATAGCTTCAAGAATCCCCCAACTTATTTCCTTCTGAACCCATGGATTAAGAAGTGGGGGAAAGTTGAGCACTAGTTTGAGGTTTTATGATATCAAGGAATTAATTTTGTATACTATGATATGATTTTGTTGTTGTTGTTTTGAGACAAGGATGCAATGTGTAGCCCTGGCTGGCCTGGAACTCGCTATGTAGACCAGTCTGGCCTCGAACTCACAGAGATCCACATACCTCTGCCTTCTGAGTGCTCGGACTATAGGCATGTACCACCAGGCTGAGCTTGTGATTATATCTTTAAAGGACAGTCTGGGTCTTTTATAGATACCTTCTGAAATATGTAGGAATGAAATGAGATGATGTCCAGGATCACAACTTTATTACTTCAATGCTTTCTCAATCTGTCTTCTACGGATCAGCAGTAGACAAAAGGTTTGTGGTAGGATTTTCTTTATATGACAAAACAACCAACGAAGGAGAAAATTCTGTGTTGTAGAATCTGAAAACTGAGTTTCACATATCTATCTCTGCACTGCCTTTGACAAACACATGGGAAAGGATATTGAACAAAGTCTTAGCTTTCAGAGTCTTCACCCAACTGATTACAAATCCCTCAATGACAGCAAAACTGAGCAGTGCCTTGGGCCAACCTACTTGCGTGTGGTAACAGCAATAATACTAATAGCTACTGTGTACTAAGCACCTACTATATACTAGGAGATTTACATGCAGCAGTTCTAATCCGCACAACTGCCCGAGGTACATATTACCATAGCCTGTGTAGGTAGGTAAGAAAATTGAGGCTCAGAGAAGTGAAAGCCCAAAGATCACTCAGCTCCCAGGGGCCTGGATTCCAGATCAGCCTGACTCCAAAGGGCCTTCCAGTGGGCTACACTGTATCTTTAGAAAGCACCCAGCACACGGGACATAAAAAGGTAAAGAATATAGCATGGTGGCACACTGCTATCATGACAGATAACATGTCCCTTTTCTCTGTTCATGTCCCCCAGCCCTTAGCTAATTTATTTTTATTTTATGTGTGTGAGTGTATTGCCTGTGTGTATGTAAGTGCACCCCTATCATGCAATGC